AAATATGTTGTATTTCGTGTTAACAAGTATACGGAATTCGGAAGTGAGATCGAAAAACAAAATAGAAAACGTTAATTGCCTTCTAAATTGAACGGAATCTTTTGGTTATCAAAGAAGATTTAAATAATTTTTGGGGTCAAGTTCAGTGGAAGAAACAGCTTGAATTGATCGAATTCCCGATGTAAAAAACTAATCAAAGATGAGTCCGAAGAATGGGATGAATACATAATTGTTTAATTTTATACAAATTTTGTTTTTTTCAGAATTGACTGCCCTTCTCTGAACTCGACTAGCATATATTTTAATTATACTTCTATGCTCTTAACTTAAATCCCTGAGAATTCATGCTTTCCAATTACAATTACTTTAAAGTTCAACCAACCCTGGGAAAGCAGTTCCACCATTCCTATTTAAAGTCTCATTCGATTTAGAGCATTTGTTTTCCAACAAACAAACCAGGGGCTTTCAATGCCAATTGTTAGGGGAAAGGTAACAAAAGAAAACTTGACGCACATGCCAAAATTCGACACACAACAATGGCCCGCAGTCTTAACCCACTTTTTCCTTAGCCACATTGTCTAAGCTTCACATGCAGGCGGCCAGAAAACTATGACTAAGTATTTTTCTCGGATAATCATCATCATCAGCATTATCATAGGCATCATATCATGCTAGAAACTCACGACAAGTGTCAAATCAGACAGACAGACAAGCAGAAATATGTAGTTTGCTACGCCCACATTGTGACCGCCTTTTTTTTTTGGGTAGGCAGCAACTTTACCTGGTGAAAATTCCATAAGAAAATACATATGTGTATACGAAACAATTTTGGCAAGCTAAAAATGAGCCAGCGCAATATTTATTTTCGTTTCCAAATTTTTAGTTTTTCTTGCTTTGTTTTGCTGTCTCATTTCGATTTTTCACACTTTAGTTGATGACAGATAGTGTTGATATATTTTAAGGGGACGAAGGGGGCTATAATGGGGAAAAAGATCTGTGGAAAGGGGTCTCTGCAAGTTGGCTTTAGTGGATGTCAAAGTGGTTTTAAATGTATCTGTTCATGGCACAAGAATGAGTAATGGGCATTAAGATTGATCTTTGGTTTTTTGTTAGTAATTTAGAATTTAAACCAAAAAACAATTCTTAATGACATCCATCTAGAGAAGAATCTTTATTAGTAATTCTAAGCATTTTGGTCAATTTTCATTACATTCTGTTGCAGCTTGGCTCCGATGCTTTTCGTTCTTCTCTTGGATAATCCAGGCTGACATTGTCAACTTAAATGCAACTTGGGGTCATTGTAAAGTGAGAGCTGACAGGGCAAACGGGTTTTTGGGGCTTTCGGAAGGAGCGGAGAGGAAAGGTTACGTTGCCTTTGCCTTTGCCTTTTGACTGACAGTTTCAATTTGCACTAACTTCGAGTCAAGAAATTGGTTGTGTAGAGAAGAGGGTAGTACTCCTCTCCATTCCATGAAGGTGACGCCTTTCTTTCGGTATTAAGGTCAAAAAGCGTTAAACCAAAACAACAACAGAAGCAAGAAAAACAGCACAGGTAAACTGAAAGAAGAGAAGAAGCTGGACCAAAAAGGCCAACAGATTTGCTGCAACAACCGCAAAAAGCACAAAGCCATGAACAAGAGCCAAAAAAAGAGTACTGGAAATAGGAGCTACAGGAGCGCTATAGAATCAGGTCAGGCCAACTCAGAACAAAATTGTGCAATGCCGTAAAGGCCAAGCGAAAATAATTGGCCAAAAAAGGATGGAAAAGGGTATAAGGGGGGAAAAGGCAAACAAAAAACAAACAAGATTTTGGCTTATGCACTTTTGGCTTAAATGAAAAGAAAGTCGAGATAGAGGAGAACGTATAAAGAATCTGCAAGAGAGAACTCAAAGTGAAAAGCCAAACGAAGAAGGCAGAAGAAAGACGTCGATTCTTCGCTGTCTTTGGTTCACCGTTATGTTGACCGCGTTACTTAACGGTACCGTCGAACACCCCGGATCCGAAGAAAGGGGGTCTTTCGCCGTGGAGGTTCTGGAGAACCGGTTTCATTTTGTTTGACGGTCGGCGTCGTGTCGTCGCTTCTTCAGCATTGACACCCATTTGAAGGCAATGAGCAAAGAAGATTCGTTCACTCAACCGGTTCTTCCGACTCCTAACGCCCCGCGTTCTTTCTTCGTGTTGCGAATTCTTAATTCCTACTCTTTTAGTTTCTTTAAGCTCTTCGTCAAGCTTTCCAAATGAACGACACAGTGTGCGGAGATTAAGATCGCCAGATAAACACTAATGAGTGTGGGTCTCTTGGAGATTTGAAGGCGAAATTTGTCAATCTAGAGCATGTGCAGATGTTATCGGATACATCACATGGGGTTTTTAAGGTCTTGATTAATTAGACCCGCAAAATAATGAAGTGGATGTCACGCACAACTAATTATCATAGAAACATAGGCATTTTTATTATAGTTTTTTATTTGTAGGACTGTCAAGATTTCTTTATAGAAAACATTAATCCCAAATGCGAGAAATCAAAACACGTATCTATTCTTTTTGTTAAACTAATTCGATTGATTTCGAAATCATCATTAGACTTGATTACCGTTCATTATGACGGCTCAACAGTTTCAAGTGAATGATGATCCATAATTTTTATGTAGATTGCATTCGAGCATTCTGAGCGCATTTACATAATCGTGTTGTTGTCGGTCAACCGGAAATTGACCAACCCACCAAGACAACGAACACTTTGATCGCTCGACCAACTTGGCCGCTTCCGTTTGATTACCGTTGCCTATTTAATTCTCTTCTGCTTTTGGCTCTTTGTCGGTTTACCAATAAAACACTTCTGTTGGACCTACAGTCCGTATCGTTTTATATTTCGTTATTGCGGTAAAGACAGCCAAAAATCTAAGCCAACCAAAATCCAATCGAACTTGCTAGCCACCAATTAACAAAAGAAATACAACTGAAACCCAAAGCCAGAGGAATACGAAAAAAAATTGATTCTAATTAAAAAATAAAAATATTGTGAAATGTGTGAAGCAAGATTTTTGCGAGGGTTGCCTCATAAGTTTTAAAATGTGACTTGCTTAGCTTTGATTTCAACAAACCACAATTTGTCTCTAATAATGTAATAACTCTAATTACTAACAAAGAGAAAGTTCCAACAAATTAAATGAAGTCAACGACTTTAAAAATTACAATTGTTTATGATTGAAGTTAATTTATAAATCATTAAAACCATTATCTGAATCATAAATGATCCTTATTATTTCCTAAACATATTTTAACTTTTATACCAAAGTATACCCAATGACTAAACAGCAACTGATTAGCGGATTTTATTTAAATTCACATAGACGACACGTTTCTCATTCAAAGATTGGTTTGTTTACGATCTTGACATTTTCCATTCAGGTATAACTTGCTATATATTTTGATTTCGGTTATTTTTGTCAAGAAGTATTCAGAATTATGACTGGAACTCAGGAACCAACCTGACTAGACTAATCTAGTTAATTAGTAAGTTAAATTGGCAGATGGAATGGCGTGTTTGTGTCCATTTTATGACGCTTTGACTGAATTCACAACAAAAGTTATATAACTTTTATGGCTCCTTGATTATCATCGCTTGAGAAACGATATTTGTTGCCAAACTGATGGTGAAAGCAAAATTTGGCTCAACTTTTTTAATTGAGTACGTACTCTATTGTTGCACTATATTTCATTTGTGCATTCAGTTTGATATGTCTTGTCTAAAGATATTTTGGATTGGTCATGCTACAAATTCTTTCACAAGCAATCAAATAAAAGTTGTCCGACTTGTTTTCAAAGTCAAAATGATAAATTGGCAACTTGTTTTATTAATATTATATTCGCTTTTGTTTGGGTTTTGGTCAGACGACAACAATTCTTCAAAAAGCCGGTATAAATTTCATCAGGGTGTGTGCCAAAGTCTTACACTTGCTTTTGCCTATCTATATACATTTGTTTATTATGCAAATTATTTATTGTATTTGAGGCCTATTTCCACGTGCTGATTGAGTTTTTTGATCGCCATATCTTTGTAAATTTTTCTATGCAAATGAATCTACTGAAATTCAATATAAAGGCGAGAGATTTAAATTTAGTTGTCTGTCTGGCTAACTAAGTTGAATTTTCCCAATCAAATAAATTTATACGTTTATACACAGTGCTACAGAAATAGGTGTGGTGTAAAAATAAACTCAAAATAGAAAACAAAACTAAGAAACACATATTGGAATGGGACGATACGATCCATGTTTTTGTTTGTGGATTTCGAAATATAAAATTTATGCTACTAATGACATATTTTTCTAATAATTTAGTATCATAAATACCGCAGCTATATGGAAATTTATCCTAACCCATGACGCGACGCTTCTTAGATGATAATGTCCCACCCCACGATTGATGACTAACCCCATGCCACCTCATAAATACCTCCATATATCTTGGATATATTAATTGCATATATCTAAATACACTCATTTCGTAGTGTCCTTGAAAAGTAGCATTTATCTTTAGCCAAACGAAATTTATGGCACTCTCCGTTGCACAATCCGTAAGATATATTTTAGTTCACCTGGTTTGAGGATTCTGGTCTCTGTTCTCTGTTTATGGCCTGCCATTAATTGCCCAAACAAAATTCCATTTCGCCGGCAATTCGTTGCTAAGCTTTAAGTTCAGTAAATACAATTTAATTGCTAATTTCACCACCCCACCCACTTTTGAGGCAATGACGCACTTGGCCGAAAGATTTTGTTTAGCACAAAATTATATAACACAATCAGCAATTGTTAATAAATAAGCCAATTCGAATGGTTAATGTTTTGATGGTCGTGGCGGCCAGAGCCATCTGTGAAGAATTTTCAACCAGGTAATGGAAATGGGAATATGTACATCACCCAGGAGGAGGCAGTAGAGAGATATGGGGATTGAAAGTGCAGATAGCCAGAGATTTCACACCAAAGAAGTTACGTACATTGTCACCTACCTGCAACGAGAAAGAGAGAGAAGGAACGTGTGTGAGAAATGGTTGTGGAAAATGCAATTTCAGATATGTTGACAAATAAATACGGTTAAGGTCTTGAGATTTATAACGACATTCGGTGGGAGAATTGTGCATATAATAAATCTTTCTGTTTAGAAACTGAAAGAGCTGTAGACTTTTGCTTGCTAGACGGTTTATAATAAATTTAGATTAACATAAGTGGGCGAAAGTTTCGTAATTGGTTAAAATTTCTGGTTATGTTAAAAAATTGGAAAAAACTATTCCCAATTTTCTGTTCTGATAAATTTAAAATAGTTTTCCTTAGAATTTCCCAAGATTAACAGAATATTCATCGTTAGCCCCTGAAATATTCATAGAACTCGCTGTAACATCCCAAAAGTCAACTTAAAATTTCCATTCAAGTCGAAAACAAAAGGAAACTTGTACTTTGTTTGGCATTTTCTTCTGCCAAAAGACCTAAAAAAAAAACCGAACTCCAAAAGTGATACCACAAAGTCGACAGTCGACTCTTTACCGAAATTCTGAGCCGAGCAGGTTGTCAACTTCAATTTGGTCGCTTCTCATAAATATTGACGCGAAAATTGTCGCTTGCGTTTTTGGCAAGGGGATTGAAGCGGGGGGTTATTAAAAAATTCATGGCTTGTAAAATGCTGAAAATCCGGGCAATGGAAAATTTAAAATGCCTATAAAGGGAAAAGGAGAGTGGGCGGGGACGGGGACGGGGGAGACGAGATGAAAATTGGCCGGCAAAGCGGCTTATAGAACAGAGGAGGAACAGAAACCAATGCCGCTTGCCCTGTGGCCTTTTCCGACCGCAATGTTGGTGGAGTGGGTGGTGCTGGGCGGAAAAGCCTTCGCAGAAAGGTGAAGGGGCGGGGGGGGGGGCGAGGAGGATGTGGTCTGTGTTGGGTTGTGCTCGGAAAACATGGCTGCGTTTGACGTCCACTCGAAAATATCATTTACATATCCGCGGAGGAGTTCCCTGTTGCTCAGCGGGAAATACATGAAAAGCTTTTAAATTTTTGATAGCCACCCACCAGCTTTTCATCTCCACCAAAAAAAAAAAAAGGAAAATCAGGAACCTGGTGTGTTTCCCGCTGATCCCTAGTACCACTTTTTCCCCTTTCATTATCCTTTGATTTTTGGCATCAGTTGTTTGTTACATTCTTTTTGCAAATTAAATTTAATTTCCTTGTTCGGGGGTCTTAATCATATTAATATTTCATTTATTTAAACCTTTCAGCCTTTACAATCCCACCTAAAGTTAATTTCACCGTTTTCCTTAATTCATTTCAATTTCATTTATGGTTTTTGTTTGTAAACTGCAGCTTTATGGTCCCATTTTTTTTGTCTTACCCCTAATTTGGCTTGATATTTTGTTTATTTACTCTTTTTGCCCCCGAGCTAGAGAAGAGATATTCGTAATGGAGGGGAAAAAATGTTTGTGCGGACACATCTGTGCACTTTTTGCCTTCCATTTGTTTTGCTCTTTGCAACTCTGGTTTTTTGTTTATGTTTTAATTACGTTTTTGTGGTTGATTTATGCTCATGAAATGGGCGTGGGTGGAAAGAAAAAGGAGGGGTTGTTTCTGTTGCCCTTGAAAGGAAAATTGGGTTAATGCCGCCCTATTAATTGGAACAAAATCCAGAAAGGTAACATGATAGATTTATGGTTTATAATACACTAATTTCTATTAAAGCTCCCTAGATGATGCCCTGTTATTGGTTAAATCTCCCATAGAAACCTCAGCTTTGCTCACCTTATTGTCCCCAAACAACTTTCCTTTGTTCCCGATATTCCCGTCAGGAGTCCTGCAATGCGCTTTCCATTTGTTTGGCGATGATAAATGACCGACATTCCCCACTATCCACTATCCACAATCCATCTACCAAGGACCAGCGCCGCCATGGACATCCATGCATCTAACTAAGTAATATCTGTGTATATCTATCTGGGCTATCTTTTGTCTGTATTGTTATTGCCTTTCGGTTTGAATATTTCCGCTATATAAGGCTATAGATATTAGGTATGTATATGTATATATCCATCTATGTATAATATGGCCATCGAACGTTTTTCGTACTTGCCTGCAACTTGTCAGTTTCTGCACAAAGACCATCAATTTATTTAGTTTTATTATCTGCACACGCAGTGCGGAGAGTTCATAGATGGGGTGGTGTTGTGGGGTTTGGGTTTGGGTTTTTTTTTTTTTTTGTATTCCGACGCAAACTTCTTTCTATATTGGCTCAGAGGTTCTCTATTTTTGTGTTGTTTTGCTGGCCATTTTTGTGCGCTTTCTTCCTTTTGTTTACGCTCTGCACGCAATGCATAACACAAACAAAAAAAAAAATAAAGGAAAATTGTTTGTTGCAAGTGTCGTACCCCTCCACCACCCAAAAAAAAAAAAATATATACAGGGAAAAAAACAATGGAGTGAAAAAAGGAATATCTTGACACTTTATCGTTAGCCAAAAACTAGCGCAGCGTAAACAAAAGACAAGCGATGGGCGAAAAGTGGAGGCAGGCACAACATGACACGGGGGGCGGCGAGTGGTGGGGGCGTGGCAGGGCAATGTAAGGTTTTGGCATTTTCGCGCTTGGCGTTAAATTCCCCTGACAGCTATAAAATTGCATTTTAGAGCAGCAGCAGAACACCAGTATATGGCTCACAGAGAGAAGTCAAAACCAAAGTGGAAGGAAGGAAGGCAGGAAGGAAAAGGCACGCAGCGGATACAACAATGTATCTATGTATCTAATAAATAGTTATTGCCGAAATGCAACAAACAGGACAACAAAAACAAAACAGGAAAAGTACTAGTACCAAGAAGAACAAAATTGATATTCCCCCGAAAGCAAAAGTGCGACATCATTATATAAATTGTGCGGTGGCCAAAAGTGAGCATCATATGTTTTCTATCTGTATCTATCAGATACACTCGCCGGGTGGCTTGGCTTTCCTCTAAGTTTGAAGTGATTTCACACACATGTTTTCCCCAAAGCAACTTTTTCCATCCTCCCTTCTCCACTGTCAACATGACCACAAAATGTTTCACAGCTGTGTGCGAAGGGAAAAAAGAAAAAAAGAAAATATCGAGGGGGAGTTTCCCTTGGTTATTTGTCATTGATGGAGAATATGGGCATCGGGGGAGTTGGACTGGAGGAAAAACAAACAGAAATTCGTGCACGTGACACGGAAATCATATTTATCTGATGCACCACCACTGCAAAATTTATTCTAGCAACGCGAAAAAAATTTCGTCTCAAATAATCTTTTAATGTGGTTGAAATGTATTTTGCATTGATTGAATATTTATAAGGAATTAAATACAATTATTGTATTATTGAGAAATAAATTGCAATTCAATTAAAATGAAAGATATTCTTCACATTATGTGCCCTCCATAAATTATTATGCATAACGATAAGCTTTGTACTTATAGTAATTCCATTTATCATTTTTATTTTTTCCTTAAATTAAATTCCTTTTAATTTAAAGTCCCTGGAGATGCTTAGTTTACCATATATATAAGTTCAATGGATACTGTTTAATATTTCCGAAGAAATTTTAATTTTCTTGATAAAATATAAAACTCTACTGTCAAGAATAGCAATTCAACAACTGTTCTATAGCCCCATTGATATCTGTTCCATTCCCGTGGGGTTTCCATTTCAATATGCCTCACACAAATTGATTCGATTGCAATCTTGAGTGAGTGAATTTTTATGAGACATCATCAAGCTCTGGTTCTTCGTTTCTATATCACACATGAGGGAAGATATCCGGCTGGGGATTTCTTTCCATAGGCCTGCAGTCCTCGCGATAACAGTGCCACATGACACGTGTCTAAGCCACGTGTGTGCGAGCTGGATTCCCCTGTTTTTTTATTTTTACAGCAAAAAGGGTTAGAAACTGATGCCCGCCTCCTCATTTTATTTTATTTAATTTTTTTTTGTGGTGGCTTCCAGTGCTCTCAACCACTTATGTTGAGATTACACGCTTGTCAGCGAAGGCGTTTCGCCCACAAAATCTGTCGAAAAGGGTTTCGGGGGTGGTGACGACATGGGAAATGGATTCTTTGGTGGTTGGCTGATAAAATGAGCAATATGTTGCTGAAGTTTGATAAGCGGTATACATATATAAAGGGAAGTACAAGTACTTCAGAAAGATTCGATTGCTTGTCACAGAAATATTAAAGTATGTTTTTAAAAATATTTAAATATATTAAATTGAATACATGACATAATACATTTGTTTATACAATTTTAACATACTATATTTCAATCTTTATGCATCTCATTTTCAGTTAGGGTTAGACATATTTAGGTCAATTTTTATATTTTTTGGCAGCTTGTTCAACTTTGCTCATCTTCAAAAGTGTTCAAGTGCAACTTAGATGAACTTAACTTTGGGATTACAATTTTTTGTTCCAGCATATCGCCCCAGTCTACGCAAAAGTTCTTCAACGTTTCTCCTCGTTTTTGCTCTTTTTCTATATATACTTTTGAGCTCTGAACGATTATGAATGAGAATCAAAATTTAGACGGCCAGTTGGGAGGTCGGGGGAGCCCTATTACAAAAGGCTCTTCTTGGCTACTAAGCGGCTGATGAAGTGGATTCAACGGCAGGAGAGCAGCAGCAGCATAATTTGCTTAAATAATTTGTAAGTGCAAAGTTATGAATTGCTTGGATGAGCAGCAGCTTGCAAAGGATTATATTCCTCACTTTTCTCTTGATCCCCTCCCACCGCCCAAACCCCAGAGTTTGCCATTTTCCCGGAAAATGCATTTTGCCGCAAATCGTTTTTTGCCCCAAGCGCCCATCAAACCCCACCCCATCCGCCCCTTTTGGAAAAGCTCTAAAATTTGTTCGCTCGAACATAAAATGTTAATTGTTTGTTTTCCCCGTTTGACAACCCCATTTTGCAAGCCATTTTCAATGAGGAAATGAAGCTTAGAATTCACCAGAATGAGAACAACAAAG